TCCAGGGACCCGGGTTCAATTCCACCCTCAGGTGACTGTCTGTGTGGAGTTTGCACATTCTCCCCGTGTCTGTGTGTGTTTCCTCCAGGTGCTCCGGTTTCCTCCCACAGTGCAAAAATGTGCAGGCTAGGTGGATTGGCCATGTTAGATTGTCCACAGTGTCTAGGGATGTGAAGGATAGGTAGGTTAGCCATTGGAAATGTCAGGTTAAAGGTGTAGGATGGTGGGGCGAGTCTGAAAGGGATGCTCTTTGGAGGGTCAACGTGGACCCAATGGGCCGAACGGTTGCTTCCACATCATAGGGATTCTGTGATTCTATGAGTGTGGGTATCAATAAAAATGAAAGCATAAAAAGTAATGAATACCACTAAGGAAATACAAACTAAAATTGAAATTTCAATATAGACTACAGCTAATAGTTTGCAACAAATATAGCACTGTATATCTGAAGCTGCTGAAACTGCAACAAACAACTGTCTTACTTTTAATTTTAATCAAAGACCTGTGTGATGGTTGAAATACCAAACTCAGTGATTTGGTATCATGTATTTTAAGGACTTAACATGGAGGTGCTGAATGTGAAATCTCAGGAAAATTTAGGAATTAGATTCATAGATCAAGTAATGAGTGAATCAGGAGGTCAACCTACATGAACATAAGGATTTTTTTTATTTTCAGAAGTAGGATAGATTAAAGCAGATCATAGCTGAAACAAAAAGATAACAATTGTCATTTCAGATGCAAGATTCTTGAGTGTTTTACTTATCTTATTTTGAATCCAAACATTGCACACAGAGCCCTGCAGTTCTGAAACCTAAAGGATCTAGTTAAGGCATGGTTGGTGATACTTCTGCAGTACTTTGGGTTGTCTGCTGTAGGTTGCCCAAGTCATCTAAGCATATACGAGTTCAGGGATTACCGCCGCCTGGTAAATCATGACCTTAGTCTCAAGTTTGAGGTTTTGGTTGTCGAACGTCGTTTTCCTCAGTTGGTTGAAGACTGGGCTGACATATTGGAAATAATGATGAATTTCATCACCTATAACTTTTGACAGGTGGAGTTCTCCAAGATCTGCATTCCCTCTGATTTTGAGATTGGCTGTGCAGGCCTTGGAGGCCCATGTTGAACAGTGATGCCAATCGCCACGCACAGAAGGTTCGCAGCCTCATAGCTGAGGGGGAACATTTTCCAACATCTTGCAAATCTGGTTGCAAGTACAGCATCTTCTTTAGAGATGGAGTGTCCTAGGGTTCTAGAGACTGCTCTGAAGTGCCCAACTACAAGCATACTTTCAACTTTAGCACAGAGCTGTTGCTAAATTTCTCTAAGCTCGAATATTTCTCCACTGAATCAAGCAACTACTGTTTGTGGCCTGTCTTCATCCACTTCCAACTGCAGTGAACAATCAATGGCTCCTAGGGCTTCGATTTAGCCCTGACCTTGTTGCACAGTATGGAGTCATCACTCCCTTCTCCTGGGCCAAAACTGCACGGTGTTTGCTAACAGCTTTGCTATCTGGAGCCATTTTTTTTCTGCTTTAGCACTCTCCCAGCTCCAAACTGCAACCAACTCCTCTTGTAGCAAACAGATAAATTGGAACCACAGAACTACACGCTCCAACTTATCGCCATGACGACGTAGACTGCTCTGAGCAATCCTTAACCTGACTTAAGTTAAATACCATGCATTTACAACTTCTTCTTTAATCTAATGATGTAAATGGGTTTTGCAGATCTTCAGACTCTCTGAATGGTTTTAGCTCAAAACAAATAATGATATGGAACGGTCATTACAGCAAGCATTGTATACATCTATAGCTCAACAGGCCCATCATCTTTCTAGCTGTTAAACTCTTAAATGGTTGGGGTCACATTACCTTAAGTGTAGTAGACTTCCATGTGCTTCAATTGCAGTTCTTACATTTTCTATTGTTAACTTTTAATTCCAAAAAATAAAAATAACATATTGAAGCATGAGTCATAAACTTGAAATGACGTGATATGGAGAGACATGGGCAGGTAAAGGATGAGGGGCAGGGGGCCAAACAAACGTGAACAGAACTGGCCTTATGTCCCAGTGAATGAAGATGGGCCATTTAATCTGCACACCTTTACACCTGCCCAATTTTGTCACGACCCTGGATCTGCTGTGGAAAGCGACAACCCCCAAAATCAGCCAGCCTCTGCCTCCTTGGGATGAAAATTTGTGAATAGACACACTTTGCAAAATTTGAAATGCAAAATCTATGAATGGTCTGACTTATGCTTCCCATTGCTGAGAGGTAAACTAAAACCCATGTTTCAGGTCCAATGTTTTTTAATGTTACACTCTCCATAGCTGCTGCCTGATCTGCTAGATATCACTCTTTGGAATAATTTTAGTCATTGAAATTTGGTTCAAAACTTAGACTAAAATTATCACAGGTTTTAAATTATCAATTTGGGAGAATGCTCAAATAACTCCAAGCAAAGCATAAGAATTAATCGGTATCCCTCATCATCGAGCCAGTTTCAGTGAAAAGCAATTTTTACATACAAGATACATGGTGAGTTTGCTCATGTACTGAAGCTAAAGATGACAGTTACAGAACTATCATCTGCATCACAGAGCAGTTGCAATACTGCAAAGCCCTTAGGTCACATATTAAATATTTATGACAGTATAAAGTGGGCCAAGGCTTTAGAATCCACTTTGGCTCAAGTGAAGAGTTCAGTTTGTCATGTGATGTTAAACAAGTTGCTTCTCATTAAATTGATGAAGTGATAAAGCAATACAACCTGACAGCATCATTTAAAAGCCTCCAATTCTGCACAGTTACAGTATTGCAAAAGAAGATTGAACCTAACTAACAATATAAACAATTTACGGCAGACATCAAGCACAACATATTATTGGTATTGCTTTTATTCTCTATCTTCAGGTTAAAAGGAATCCTCTTACTTTATTTTATGCATGTTCCGGTATTAAAAAAAATCAATTTTGTTCCACATTTCTAAATACATAAAGCTCTTCTAAGACTGCCCAAGATAGATCTAATCATTATCTCCACCACTGAAGAAGTCATGTTTTCACCCCATTTGTTAATGTACTTGTAAACTGATATCTCAAGACCTGATGGATGGATATAAACTAAACCTGGTGCACCAATAGAGGGTAGCTCAAGGAAGAACTGATTAGTTTTTAAGCAAACATTTTGATCTGGATCCTCGACTATTTTTAAAAAATGATCCATTAACATCTACAGATATGAAGAAATTATCATTTTTAGAATGTTTTACATTATTATATTTGAAACATTATGACTTTATTATTGTTGTGAATTATTTCAGCTGCTGTATGCAAATTGTCACAGCTGTCAAAATATGAGCAGATGCTTCACAGCAGCTTGTTGGATGTGACTTTGTCTTGAAGCCTCCTCAGTGAGATAGAAGCTTTAAATAAAAGGAACTATTTTATCAGCTTTGTAGTTGCAGTTGGTCAGTCTGACTAGGAAAAGTACACAGTCCTGCAGCTTACAGCACTTTAGGTGCAGACCCAGCTATTTTTAAAAAGACTTTAGGGTCTTTGCCTCCACCAACTGAGGCAGCGAATTCCAGACACCCAACACCCTCTGTGCAAAAATGTTTTTCCTTACATCCACTCTAATCCTTCTGCCACTTATCCTGAATCCATGACTCCTGGTGTTTGTACTCTCTGCCAAGGTAGACAGATTCCTCTTGTCTACTCTATCTCTACCCCTCTCAATTTTGCATATTTCAAACATGTCACCCCTCAGCCTTCCATGTTCCAAGGAGAACAACACCAACGTCTCCAATCCATCCTCGTACCTACAATTCTCCAGCCCTGGCATCATCCTAGTTAATCTTCTTTCACTCTGTCCAAAGCAATTATGTACTTCCTGTAATGTGGTGTAATGTTCCCTCTAGCATTTTTAAAAAAAAGTATGAAGAATTCTGACTGCAATGTTTGAAGATCTATCATAAATAAGACATTAAAAAAAGGGGAGGAAGACATAAATAGATAAAAAGAAGAAACAAATGTTTCAAAATCGTTAGCTTCATCTTAACTTTGGGTAATTCTAATATAAATGGCAGCTTTTTCTAAAAAGCTGCAGCGTACAATAGCTTTATTATACATATGATGTAAAGGTAAGCAAAACAAAATAGTACGAGCCTCCACAAAATCTGACGGCTACAAAGCATATTCAAAACGTGTTCTCGCAAGTTTTCAAATAAAAGTGTCAAAATCAAAGGTAATTAAAATCTGAATTTTCACCATGGTGAACAAACAACTTCATTAACAACAAACAAAAACAGAAATTGCTGCACAAACACAGCAGGTCTAGTTGCACCTATGGACAGAAAACAGAGTTAACGTTTCGGGTTCAGTGACAACCTTCAGAAGGATCACTGGACCTGAAACGTTAACTCCACTTTCTCTCCACAGATTCTGCTAGACCTGCTGCATTTTCCAGCAATTTCGGTTTTTGTTTCTGATTTCCAGCATCCTCAATTCTTTGCTTTCTGTTAAATATAGTAAACAAATTTATTCCCTTGCCTCAGCAAATGATAAACCGTTTATACCATTTATCTTGAGATGGTCCCTGGTCTGGGGCACAGTTTGTCTGCCCAAGGAATATCCATATTATGTTTCACTTATTGAAATTCTGCTCACTGATATATTCTCTTTCATCTTAGGTTGTATGCCATTCTGTGAAATTACTTCTGAATTTGCCTAGTTTACATTGAGATAATTTTGATCAAGGCTAACTTTAAAGTTTAATATGGGTGGAACTATGGCTGACTTTCCCTTTTCCAAGTCCAATGTCCAAGATTAATGCCCTACTACCAACCCAGTCAAGGGCAGTTAACTCAACAAAGGCCAGGTTATCAAGTCACTGCCATGATCTCTGGTTTATCATACAGAGAAACAAATATACACTTTATTTTTAAAAGATACTGAACCAATGTCTTGCTGCGATATTCTAATCTAATACGTACTTGTTTCGGGAAGCGGAAAAGGGAATTTCCATAAAACATTCCCTTGGCCTGACTCCATGTTCCATCGATAATAATAATATTATATGGTGACAGTGATGAGTCAAGTTCAAGTTCTTCTAGGTTCTTTGCCTCAGGTCCAGGATATAGGATTAATGTACTAAGACTCTGGCAAACAGCTGCAAGTTCAGGATGCCTTTAAAATAAAAGAAACAAACGTCTCAGTCATTTTTACCATTGTTTTACATTTTTCTTGTCTTTTAAAATGAATGGTTACACACAAACTACATATGTCATATCCTAGTTGATCTCCTCAATGTTTGCAATAAATTGTTTAGAGGTTAATTTTCCATTTGGCCCTCCCATCAGAAGGCAAACCTATGCAGCAGCCAGAAACTCCAAGATTCCAGATCAAACTGCCAAAGGACTGTACACCTATTTATAGCCAAGCTCCATTTTTGGGTTTTTCTGGATTAGCATTGGTTTGCAGAGAGTTCTGATACAGTAAGTGGCTTTTAGGTTTCTCCTGTGTTTGGATGCCCCAATGAATGCAATTGAAAGTAAGAGATCAGAACTGAACATTACCTCCAGTCTAATTTGGATACTATCCCACTGCAGGTACAGACACAGTCCCATCCAATTTGGGAAATTAAGGGAAATCTGTGACAGTTAGTTCAGACAGTGAATCAACTAAATCAGTCTTTGACGTTTCCTTCTTTGCTGTATCTGGGAACTAAGTGCTCTCTCTGGACTGCAATGCACAAAATATGCAAAGCGCAAATTCTAACTGTAGATAGTAAGTAGGCGAAGGTTTACTTCTTAATAATCTTTTCCTTACACAGATACAGAACAAACTATTTTCCTCTGTTAAGTGCTGGTAGCAGTCATGCCTGAGTCACAAGGTTGTGTGTTTAATGCCAGGATTTGACTTACGCTTCACCAACCAACTGAGGAAGTGCTCCAATGTCAGAACTGCTGTCTTTCAGATGACATATTAAGTTCAGTTTCCTCGTCAAGTGAATGTAAATATCATATGGTAAAATTCAAAGAAGAGCAAGATCTCTATTAGCATCTTGGTCAACATTCCCAGTGAAACAACAACACCAAAATCAGATTAATTAATCTCTGATCTCAGTATTTTTTTTTCATAGGAACTGGTATGTATATTGTCAGTTGCTGACAACACAGTGATTACCATTCAGAAATTATTTAATCCACTTTTTAATTTCACAACGTTCTTCTCTTTGCGTTTTATTTATCTGAAATCAACCCCAGCATTTCTAGCATGTTCAAAATAAACAGTTACTAATTCCTAAAATCAGAGCTTTAAACTGAAGGCTTCATTTATTTTTCTGTACTACGTGATTACCCAAGGCATTGAATTTCTGCTTAAGGCTATGCATAATCAATGATCATGTGCTAACCCCCATGGTTAGACAGACTGTTCAAATCCAAGCATACAACCAAATTAAGTCCCAAGGTCAATTCAAAGCGAATTATTCTTTTTGGTGGATTCTTTAGATTGGTAGTTACTTGGCTCATTATTAACTCAAAAATTTCCAAGTTATTTCAACTCAAGAAAAACAGCAGTAAATAATTAGGTGTTTGTACACTTTGAGAGTACTTGTTATTTGTTGCTATTTTATATGCAGCATACTGTTTATAAAAGTTATACCACAGAAATGAATGAATATAAACTTTTGCTTTATATGTATACGGAGTACTTATTGAGTTTACAAATGACCAAAAAAAAAATCAATTGCCAAAAGGTTCTTGTTATTTTCTTTTTGTTTACTTGTTGAAGTAATAGCCACCCACTATGACAGTTGTCTACAAACAACAAAAAAAAATTGCCACTGACATCAGCAGCATAAGTCACTGCTTCTAGCAAGTATTTCGATATTATGGACAGGATCCCTTGTCAACTTGCCTGCAATTGTAAATGGTGGGGGAAGGTCAGAGAGCAAGAGTAGGAGAAAGCGATGACTCCTAGGAAGTGGCCCACCTGTCAGTTGAGATCTTAAGAACTACTTTGCACCTGGCTATAATTTCCTGGCCTGATTAAAGTGTTCAAACATGAAACCCATTACATCTCAACCACTGGGGTTGGGAATAGGAAATGGAAGGTAGAGTTTGGGGCTTGGCTCCAAGATTTGTCTGCCTCCTGATTTTCCCTCCCTGCTTGGCTTCATCATCTTGACCACCACCTCTTCTGGGCCTCCCTTCTACTCCCTGCTGCGAGACCCTATACAAACCCATTGCTGGGGATTCTAGTCCTTAAGACTGCTGGGATACTTTGCGGTCTTAGCAATGGACATCACTCAAGATGGCGCTATTGGGACCATGCAGTTGCCAGTTGGACTGATCAGCTGCTAGGTCCCTGTGGTGGGGCTTCCTCGTGAATGAGAGGCAGAAATCCCACCTACAGCATTCTCCACAAACATTTTACCCATAAAATTCTGTCTTGAGTTGGGAAAACTTTTGTTTTTGCCCAACTTGTAGTAACTGTACCGCTGATACTCAGGAGAAATTGTTCCCGTCAAATTATGGCACGTTCTTTCTTTCCAAAATAGCATACTATATACTATTTAAATGTGAGTGAAAACTACAGAAAACATGGTAATTTTGAATAAAAACATGCAAAGCATTATTATGATCTTTTATAATTTTAGCAGACTCTAGTCAGTTGTAGAACAGAAGGAAGAACACAATGTCTGTGTTGTTATGTAACTGAGAAACTACATTCTACTAAGTAGCTGGACATGAACTACCATGAGAATAAAGGGAACAAACTGAGGAATGAAATTACAAACCTTTCTCACCCTTTACTGTAAAAGAAATCAGACTTTTGATGATACACATAGAACAACAATTTTATGGGATACCGCATCATTTAATACAATAGCATCATATGGCTCTACTTTCGATCCTTTGTTGAGATTGGTAAACAAGGTAGAAAGAGAAAGACCGCAAGGCCTCCATGCTGAGGAGGGAAAAATTAAAAACTGGATCCCTTCCTGTTCACTAGTCACAACTGCCTTTGGAAGCATAAATAATAAAAACAAAATACTGCTGAAACTGCAAATCTGAAACAAACTGAAAAGGTTGGAGAAATTCAGCAGACCAACAGCATCTGGAGGCCAAAGAAATAGAATTTAAAGTTCCAAGTCCGGTATGACTCTTCTTCAGTTCTGGAGAACATTTGGATTCACAGAAAATCAGTGCCTATTTACAAAATGGACATTTGGTACAAAAAAAAAAGGCAGAAAGCTCAAATCCAACAATTTATACTCAAAAACTGTGACTGTTATTAGTTTTTAAAACAAGAAAAAAAATCAACATTGATGGCAATTGTAACCACTCGAGGGGCAAGCTTTTCTATGTACTTCACAGACTGAGACAGTGCAGATGGAGTCAAGAGACTACTGCTATTTATATTACAGTTGTTAGCATTTTTTGCAAGCTTATGTGATCAGTTGCAAGTTTCTCAGCAGTCAAAACCGGTACATAGAGGATAGGGATGCATTCAAGCATATTCTTTCAACTTTCATAGAAAATATGAGCAGGAGTGGGCCATTCAATCCTTCGAGCCTGCTCCAACATTCAACATGATCGAGGCTGACTATCTAATTCAGCACCCTTTTCCTGCTTCCGCCACCACCCTCCGCCGTACATTTGATCCCTTTTATCTCCAAGAACTATATCTAACTCCTTCTTGAAAAGATTCAAAGTTTTGGCCTCCTGTTTTTGCTTTCTGCGGCAGACAATTCCACGTGCTCACCACTTTCTGGGTGCAGAAATTTCACCGCCACATTTCACATTTGTTGCAGTTCACGGTGCAGCATTCTTCTTACTCTTTTTTTCTTCTTTGAGAAACACTCATTAGCATGGCACAATCCTGGTGTTCTTTACAATGTGCAGGATCTTGCTGTTCAAAATTTTGCCATGTTCTTTAATGTGCAAGATAGATCTCAGGTATTTAAGATCAAGCTTATCAAAACATACACAAAATTTTTATCTATAAAGGGCAGCGAGACCAACATTCCAAAAGACTTTCAGCTAAATTAACTTGAACATGCACCAATTTGAAACATGCTTACTCGGTTTGCATTTCTAACTTAAAAGAATATTTCACAATGTATTAGTGTATCAGTCTGACTAAATATACTCGAAATGAATACACTGGTTGAAACCATTTTGACAATTATTAAATATCAATGATTAGTTTGGGGAAATACTTTCTTTGGATTTGGCTGATACATGGTCTCTGTTTTTTTCAGGCTTCCTGGTCTCATATTTGAGCATAGCTACTTAACTCTAACATAAATCAAGACTCCAGAGAGAAGTTAAAACTTTGGGAGAAAAATTAAAATTCTTTCTGAAAAACAAGTGGAATACTTTAACAGTAATTTAACTGCATTATTCAATTCCAGTTGTCAGATTTCTGACTTCTGATAAGTCAACATAACATTGATAAGTTAACACTGTAGTATTTCTGTGGATGTCTATAGGTCTTGGATGCATATGTCTTACATTTCTAATTTATTAATATTAGTCAATGTTGGACTTACTCAAAGGGACCAAAATTACAATTACACAATGTGAAGCACTGGGGTTAAGAAAATAGAACAAATGCTTTCTGGTTCAAACACATGTATTTGTTCCCAAAAGAATAATTACTGCATTCAGGTGGCTAATTATACTCTACCAGAATGTGTAGATATTGTTCCTAAAGGTACATCATTAGATTCTCTAGACATCTATACTTGTTTCACTACATGTGATTTTAATGTCTTAGAAGTCCAGAAGTAGGAACAGATTAATGTCTTTGAGAACAGTGAAATGCTTCCAATCATTTTACATACATGCAAAATTTTTAATTTACCCCAAAATATCACTAAGTAAAATAATTAAAGAACTGTGGATGCTGTAAATCAGAAACAAAATCAGAAGTTGCTGGAAAAACTCAACAGGTCAGGTTGGATCTGTGGAGAGAAAGCAGAGTTAACATGTTGGGTCCAGTGACCCTTCTTCAAACTGACAGTAACTAGGAAAAGATTGGCATACATGCTAGAGAAAGACTGGGGCTAGGGGTGTGCGCGCAGACGAGGAAAGGGTAAACGATAGGTGGAGATGGGACCTACAGAAAGAGAAAAACTAATGGGCAGACAAAGGAATTGGTAAAGGTCAGTGTGG